TGCAGAAGCAACACACAACCAAGGCACCTAAAGCTGCATTACTCGCAGATGTAACACAGCACACTTCCTGTACTGCCTCCTCCCCTCGTGTTCGATTGTTCCTGTGTCGTCACGCCTCCGTTGCCATGATCAAGACACCCGATTGGCTCATTCCTCCTCGCGGGGGGGGGGGAAGCGGGACAGAGGGCGCGAGCCCGGCGCCGGCTGTTGGAGGCGACGTTTTGTTGTCATGGAAACCGGGGAAGCGCAGGTACGGTTCTTGCAGAAAGACGGCGGCCGCACCGAGAGAACAGGCGGAGGGGAGCGATAATCTGGGTCGGGGAGTGTGTGTGTATCCATCAGTACACACGCAACCCCGTCCGCCGGGGGGGGATGCGCCGAAAACACAAGCAGGACAACTTGCCCTCTGAGAGTCGGGAGCGCCGCCGTTTTGGGAAACTTTAGCCCCTAGTGCTACCTGGTAAGTTCTGTTCCGGTCCTACAACCGCAGTACAACATCAGCCACATGTTGCAGCAGTGTAGCACTCACTGGGCACATACAGTATACATATTGTGATTTAGCTAGGCTTTGATCTGGTACCGTTAATACTCACTGAGTATTAACATCTGTTGCTAACGTTTTACACATCCATCTAGCATGTCAATACCGTTTGAAACCCACGGACGTCTTGAGCTACGAGAAGTCGTGAGTCTAAAGACGTAACAGCAACTGCGAGTCGTCACCTCTTGCCCAGGAGGTCCTCTTAGGCGACATCAAATAACGAACTTCCAAAGAAAGCGAAAGTCATAAAAGGTTCTTTGTGGTCTTTTTTGGGGGGAAGGGTTAGGGTTAGGGTTTTTCTTTTTTTTTTCTTGTTGTAAACAATCCCGTCTAAGAGGACTTACAGAGGGACGGTTCGTTTTTTTTATAGTTTAGAGTCGCCAGCCCACTATAAGGTTTTTGGATATTAATTAAATGTTTTTTTGGGAATCATTCAATTTATTGTTTATTCACAATTCAAGTCTCTTTTTGCTGTTGTATAAGTACTAATTCACCTCATTAGTTGGAGAAAGAATTAGGTTCAAGTGTTGTCAGGTGTTGAATGTCCTGCCTGGTGAAAATCAAGAACAGGCTCACATGAATCAAGATGCCCTGTTTTCCAAGAGCCCCAGGAGAACAGTGCACCATCAGTACATTGGAGCCAGGAATAAGTCAGCTCAAGATCAGTGGAGCCAAGTCCTGGTTAGTGGTGAATCAAAGCTTTGCACTTGCTAATCCAGTACCAGGCACCAGCCGATGGCTGCTTTGGGAGGACCAAGAGTGATGGATCTTGTGTAGACTGGAGGTGCCCTCACCGCAAGGTGCCACACTGACCAAGTCCCGGGGTCCCGCAGTCCTCTGTTCCTGCAGACTGCTCCTATAATAATATAATGTTTTTTTATTAGCCCCATACAATTTCTTGCATTAGGAATTTGTCTTTTCACATACCGCAGCTTTTCTCCATGGAGACACAGACACACACAGGGAGAGAGAAGCTGGGGGTCAGAGCGCAGGGTCAGCCATTGTACAGCACCCTTGGAGCAGTTGGGGTTAAGGGCCTTGCTCAGGGGCCCAACAGAGTAGGATTGCTCTACCGGCCACAGGATTTGAACCAGCAACCTTCCAGTCACAGGCGCATATCCTTAGCCACAGAGCTCCGCCCAAGACAGGAATGGGACAGCTATGCTTGAACCCCACTGAGCGGTTGAGCACAGCTGGGGTGTTTTGTGCCACCCAGGTCTGCAAGAGTAATGGGGTGGAATCGGGTGCAAAGCGTGTGGCCCGGATGTACAGCTTGTACTGCTTTGCAACAGTGGCCCCACGGAGCCCAGTCACAGCTGCCTCCTTGGCTCCAGAACATCTAGAATGAGCACAGGGCTTTTTCCACTTCATCTCGTAAAGAGCTTTGAGATGGAGTCCCACGTGATGATGAGCTACTAGCTTTACTGCATACTGATTGGGAGACTGCGCTCCTCAATGTTCAGTTTGGGATCCTGAAGAGAGTACGGCAGCTTATAAATTGTACCACCACACCCAAATACATTGTTAGCATGCATGTGGTTGTCATGGCAGTACAAGATTTATGCAGCTGGGCTATAATGGATAAAGTGTCCTACCTTAGTGAAGTCGCAAATACAATAACATGGAATTCAGGGACGTAATATTGGTAGGCTGCTCCAGCTGCAATGATCCTAATTTAAGCACTTCTGTATCTGCTGATGTGCAGGGGGAGAAATAGTCTAGATGTTCTTTTCTAGTGGATGAGGTACGTAGGCAAAGCTCAGAGGTGATTGGGAGATTTTGATTTTACTTTTCAAATTTCATCCATCCATTAAATGGATAAGGAGAAAACACTGGCTTTAAAAGTCTTTAAAGCAGACCCGGGCAGCACATGGACTGCAGGCCTTTTTCCTAAATATCTCAGGATGGATTTCTCCTCTTCAAGGAAAAACTGTTACTGCTATGGACGCTACGCCTTATTGTTGATACGTCTAGGAACACAGTAATTTCAGCATCCTTCTCGCATATGCTGACCATGGGAAAAAAAATTGATCAGCAAGGTTTGATGAGGTTTAAAATCTCACGCTATTGTTTCTACCTTAAGCGAATCATAGGTGTATGTTTATATGCTGTACGTAGTTGTCTCTGTTAGTATAAGAGAGGCTTGTTCATTTACTGTATATCTTCTGGGAGACATTCAGTGTTGCAGTGTGCCCGTTCAGCTGTGCATTACACCCTGCTCTGCCTCACATTTTATACTTCACCTGTCCCATACAGCACTGCAGCTGCGCTGGATTATCTATAATTATCCTGAGATATTCCCTACTGTTGTAGGGATTGAATTTCAGTGCTGGACACCATTAGACAGCGGCTTTTCATGAGAGAGCATACTGGAATGTGGACCTGACCCTCGGAGCGAGAGAAAAATAAAACTACAGTACTGCACGTAAGTGGTTTTCATTTTGAGCATTAAACATAACGAATGAAATTACATGAATGTAACTCCTCACTCGTTTCCCAAAACGAAGCCCTAGGAATCTAGGAGGACTGTGCTTTCTGTATTGTTTCTTCAGGGCTGTGGAACGGACTCTCTGCCCGTATCCGATCTTACATGCTGATCAGCACCTTCTGATCCTGTCAGAAGCCTGACCCTGTTAGCTGGCATTTAGTTCTGATTAAGTTCCAGTGTTCATTTGTTTATACATCTCTCTATTCCTTTTGTCTTGGCTTTGTTTTATTGTGTTGCACCTCGTGAAGACGTGTCATGAAAGGCCCTGCAGGAAATCAAAACTGTTATCATAAGTATTAAGAATATGTAGTAATGAAACTAGTTTTTCTAGTTCCTGAGAGTGGAATGACATTAAAGTGATATGGAGAAATGATACAGCCAAGTGTTCTTTAAAGCACGTCAAGATATGTAACCGGTGATCTACAGGGTATTGAGCAACCTGGTGTAAACAATGTGAAGTATTAATTTTGTCATTGGTATGATACAGTCTGGTCATACGTTTGTAAATTCCCCCAGCCAGTAAAGAATATTTCTGCTAAATATATTTGTCCAGTAGGGGACTATTCCTTACTCCTTATAAAGATATATAAAGATAGTGTCATACCTTTCTATAGTTCTTTATTCACTATTGCACAATTATTGTGATTCTATTTTACAGGTTTATACACATGTTTTTTTTATTGCTAACAGGTATTAAAAGCTTTATTCTGAAAAGTTGTTGTAAATTCTGCTTTAAAATAATTACTTGCAATAGATCGCAAGGGGGTGTAGAGGAGAATTAAAATAGGATTGGACAATGTCTGGCAGCCGCTCAGTGAAGAACTAAATACAGTATGTTGAACATGCCACCCTTCTCATTTCCTCACCAAAGCTTACTTATGCGAGACGACTGCTTCTTTGAAATAAAATGAAACGGTAAATCATTTATGGAGCTCTTTGTTTTATCCACTGAATCTGTTTTTACAAGAGTTTTGTGTGAATAAATTGTTTTTTTAAAGGGTGACTAAAACAACATGTAGAAGTAAACCATGTATGTTTAGAATATTCTTTTTTAAGCGTATGGAGTAACACAGCCCTGTTCCCCCTGGTGTGCAGGGAGCTCTGGGGGCGGAGGACAGAGATATGGCTTCCTGTCTCTATGAGTGCCTGTGCGAGGCAGGGCTAGAGCGCTACTATCCCCAGTTCACCGCGCTCGGACTGCGGAGGCCTGCCAACCTCTCCCGCCTCACCATGAGCGATTACCCCCGGCTGGGAGTGCACCACATGCAGGACCGCACCCGCCTCTTCCACCTGGTGCAGCTGGTCAAAACCCTGCAGGACGGGCAGGGGGCTGAGGAGGAGGAGGAGGAAGACGGTTCTCTCCCAGCTCGGGGCACCCCACGCCGGCAGCTGGATTTCAGCACCCCCTCTGGGCACAGCACCCACGCTGACAGCGTCGCACCTAGACGCAGGCCCGGGCAGGCAGGAGTGCCACACAGCCTCAGGTGTCCAGCCAAGAAGGAGCAAACCCCTTTGCACAGAGTCACACACAGCCAAGGGTACAACTATGGGTTACCCCTCTCTTCTGCCAGGTACCCAAAATCGCCCCGACCGGTCTCCTTTTTTCCTTTTGTCGTGGTAATAACAGCAGACTGGCACATTCATCCTGATCCACTCTTCCCGTTACAGGTTATTACAGAAATAACTTTTTACGCTCATTCTGTTACAGAAATGTTTTTAATGCTCGTTCTTCTGCCTTTAGGCATCCCTGTTGACGTGAGTGTTCGCGTAATTAAAGATAAGGTGCAAGACCCTGGCACACACATGGAATCTAGGCCTTTTTCCCCAACACCTCGGGATACCAAGGAAAACCGTTACTGTTATGGACACTAGCTTTAGGCCTAAATGCCTAATTGCCGTCATGCCTTCTGCCTTCTGCCTACCTGTTAAGATGCTAGTGTCTTCCGACTTACAGCCGCGGTGTCCGGTCGAGCTCTTCCTCAGGCCTGTGTGTGTCTCAGGGCGGGGGGCCGCGGCCCCGCGCGGGTGGCGGCGGAGAGGATCCGGGTGTGCGTGCGGAAGCGGCCGCTGCGCGGGGGGGAGGAGCGGCGGGGGGAGCTGGACGTGGTGGACGCTCAGGACCACGAGTCGGTGCTGGTCCACGAGAAGAAGGAGGCGGTGGACCTCTCCCAGTACACGCTTCAGGTACAACGCTCTGCCCCACAGCTTGTGTCCCTCATCTCATCCACACACAGGTGTTTACTTCACCTGCAGGCGCATAGTGTGCGTTTAGTCACTTGCAGCAGATTTCTCCTGGCTCTTCAGAGGGAAATATCTTTTGAGGGACTGCAGACATTCTTACTTCACTTTACGGATGGGAAATTTGCTTGTCAAGCAGGTAAAAGAGAGAAGAAATTGCACAATACATTTAACAAAACATGAACCCGTTAACAAATAAGAGACATAGATGCATGATGTGAAAGAAAACATATATATAAAGAAGTTAAATATACAGTCAGTTACCCAATTTGAGCAGGTTGATAGCTGTGGAAGAGAAAGATGACTTAGTTCTATTGCGTCTGTCCTGAATCTGGATTGTCTCAATCGAGTCAAATTCACAGTGAAAGGGCCGGGTCATGACTGTCAGCTATCATATTGGCCTTCCTCAGTATTTGCTCAATGTAGACGTCTGAGAGCTGTAACTGTTGCGCTGTTCTGCTGGCTACCTTCACAATCCTGCTCAGTCTGTTTTTATTGCGTGTTTTAAGGTGACCAAACCAGGCTACCACAGTGAGTGTTAGGACAGATTCAATGAAAGACTGATAGAACAAAGTCATTGTTGTAGTACACACATTAGAAGAGAAGAGTTTTCTAAGGAAGAACAACCGCTGTTGGCTCTTCTTTCATGTGGCGTCTGTGTTACATGTGTCAACAACGGTGCCAAGATATTTGTAACAGTTGACAATTTCAATTTCTTGCTCCTCAATTCAGCACATAGCCCTCAGTGAAAATATTTTGAGGTTCATATTATGAACTACATTAGCCTCTTGCTGTACAATTCTTTCCTACATGTAGATGAATGGTGTGCACAATGTAGTGTACACATTACTTCAGTTACATACTGTATGTAAGTCTGTATTAGGTTGCTTAGACCTACAGTGTACGAGTTAATCTTTGTATTACACAATTCAGTTCAATTCTCAAAACTGACCATGTGATCAGCAAAACTAGGATCTGTTCTCTTTCTTTAGCATGTGTTTTATTTTGATGACGTGTTCGGTGAGTCCTGCACAAATGAGGATGTGTACCGTAAGACTGCCTACCCCCTGATTCAGCATGTCTTCAATGGGTAAGAAATCTGCCTCCAACATCTGCCACCAGAACATGAATATGAGAACGACTCACTTTACTGTGGGGTTTAATGAGAAAACAGGTGACATTTTTGAAAACATAACAAAACCTACATCCTTCTGGGTTAACGCTCTTTCCCTTAATTTCCATCCTTGCCCATGCCCCAGTTTGATCATTGAACCTGAAGTTCTCCATTGTTTTGACTTCAGTAACCTTTAGGATTTTTGCCTCAGATCTCATTATAATCTGCTCTGTTCAAGACTAGTGAGACTCGTTTCCCTTTGCCTGTCTCTGTATGGCATGCCCTCAGGATCAGAAGTTATTGTGGCTGCTGTTCTTCAAACTCTTTCTAAGACAGCAGCACTCTTTTTTGTAATGCAGTGATCAGAATAGCTCACAGTCGATTCATTATATTGCACTGTATATTTCCAGTTATATAACCTTGGAGTTACATTCTGCCTTCAGATAGCATGCCAGCTGTTCCATATGCCCAAGCAGTTTGTCTGGTTTATCTCCTTTTCCACATTGTCCTCCTGCTCCTGGAGGGCTGCTGTGTCTTTGCCTTTCAGTCTGCAGGTTCGCTTGTTAAGTGTCTGGTTTCTGCATATTAAATGGTGATTACTGTATCCATTTCACATGTATCTTTTGCTGTTTCTTCTGACACAGAAGCCTGGCACTGGAGGATTATTTAAAAAGTTTATTAAATGTATCAGACTCAAGATCACTGAGGCATCCAGGGAAGGCCCTACAGAGCCAAAGTGTCTCCCTCCTATTTTTCAGCATGGAATTAACCTCTACTTGCTCCTCTTTCAGCCAGTGTGCTCTTTCAGCTCCCCGCTCCATGTCACACTGTGTATTATTTGCTGAAACTGCTTTCTGATCCCCGTCAGACCCGCATGCCTGTAAGAGCCTCTCTGTCCGGCTCTCTCTTGCAGGGGCAAAGCCACTTGTTTCGCGTACGGGCAGACGGGGGCGGGGAAGACTCACACGATGATGGGCACGGCCCGCAGCCCCGGCCTGTACGCGCTGGCCGCCCGCGACCTCTTCGCCCGGCTGGGGCGGCCCGCGCCTGCCCGCGGCCCCCTGCACCTCTGCATCAGCTTCTTTGAGATCTACTGTGGGCAGCTGTACGACCTGCTGGATGGCAGGAAACGGTGCGTGGGGCCTGACTTCCTTGCAAGAGACACAGGCGTGTCGTAGGTCAGCCGTTCACCCCTCACAGGCTTGAACCTGTTGTGCAGAGAGGCTCGCCCACTCAGCAGGATTTAACTATTGCAGATGGCTCTTCCTTGGGAGTTCCTCATCTGGTTGTGGCCAATTATTATGCGGAACACTGTAAGTGCAAGCATACCCAGAGCTAGGCAGACGTGGAAATCTTAACAAATGTTATATGCAGTCGACATTTATTTTATTTAGAAGATGCCGACTGACTGGTGTGTTGGTTTGTGTGGGCTTGTTCTGAGCGGCCATTCTTCCCTGTCCCTGAAGGTTGTTTGCCAGGGAGGATGGGCGTCATGTGGTCCAGATCGTGGGGCTACGGGAGGAGAGGGTGGAGTCCGTGGGCACGCTGCTTGAGGTGATGCCTTCTTTTTCTTCATCACAACGGCCTTCTCCTGGCTTATGAAATACTTCAAAATCTAAAATCAGAAAGTGCTGCAGAATTATTCTTCTGTTAGGAAATTACACACATTGTCATTGATGGAAGAAAAACGGGCTACTGATACTGGAAGTATAATTATCATTTAAACAAGAATGACAAGATTTGTATTATTTCTATTCAGTAGCGAGTGCAAAGGGCGGTAGGGTGTTCAAGAATTGGGAACACGACACAGAGTCTTCAGGAGCCTCAGAGGGGGTTTCTGGAGATGAAGTTTCCTGGTTTCAAGCCATTTTTCAAACAAGGGAACAAGTAAAGGTTTATTCCATCCTGAAAAGAGAAGAAAAGAAACACGAAGCAGAAACGTTGTTTCTTTTCTTCTCTTTTCAGCAGGGAATAAACCTTGACCTGTTCCTTTGCAGCCTGCACATGCTGATGCAGCTCCCTACTTAAACATTGTTCAAACAAGTTGAATGCCCTGCCATCACTAGGAAACATAACAAGAGCAGCAAATACAGCACCAGGAGCAAATCACATTTATAACACCTAACACAAGAAAGTGTACAGGGAGCCCAGCTGTGGCCTGTTGAATGTTGAATTATTTGATGTCTTACAGATCATTTTTGCAATAACCCAGTGCTGTTTTTTCAACATTTACAAAAGAAATAACACAATTGTCACGTCTTTCTTTGTTATTGTTAATTATCCTAACTGCTCTCGTAAAGAATAATGTTTATTTTGGAAACACATATTATTGCCCACATGTAACTTTTATACATACAGAAAGCTGTATACATAAAGCTTATATATATAAAGAACACTCACACAAACATGGGGAGAACATACAGACTCCACACAGACGGCACCCCATACCAGGAATTGAACCTGGGGCCCCAGTTCTGCAAGGCAGCAAGCCACTACTCCCCTCCTTTGGCTAGACATCCGTTAGGAAATTAGGCTCATAAATAAACTGTGACCATCCTGTGTATCCTTGTTGTTAGGTGGTCTGTAGCTGAAAGACTAAAAACCACATTAAAGTCACATTAAACCACTGTTAAAGTTGTTCAAAAGGATAACCTGGCTTCTTTCAAGAAGGGCTAGATGGGCTGAATGGCTTCCTCTTACTCTTGATTTGCTCTTAGGTGTCACTTAGTCGCCCCTAATGTGCAATACTGAAGGCTTAAACCATTCTCCTGAATGTAGTCCTAAGGCAGTGGCACTGTGTGGGTCTAAGTGTCTGTGTGTGCTCTGCAGGTGATCTCCTGGGGCAGCAGGGAGCGCAGCAGGGGTGCCAGTGGAGTGAACGCAGACTCCTCTCGATCTCATGCCGTCATTCAGATACACCTCAAAGACTCCACTCGCAGGCTGGTTGGCAGGTCAGGACTCTCCCAGTGCAGGGACACTTTGTGCATTTGCAGTGCAAGTACATCACATTTGTATTATTTGCTTTTGTTTAGATTAGACTGAGATTTTCTTTGTCTACTCAAAGTGGAAATTTGTCTTAGGTTTCCCTCCTTTACAATTAATGAAAATACCAGTTCATCAACAAACATAAAGGAAGAACAAGACATTAGGCGCGGAAAAAGCATACATTCACAGATAAAAATCCCACTGATCATAATGCAAATGCCTGGTACAAACAAATAAAATCTTTTGAAAAGAAAGGACCCCACCATGAGTGAAAAAATATATTACAGAGGGGATTTTGTTTGTTTATGTCCCGATTTACAGTTTCAGCAGTACAATGGCAGCACCTCCTATAACTGGATATTGAGATATTGAGTGCAATAGAAATGAGGAACGTTTAAGTGTTAGGTTGATCATGCGTTATATTATATTGCCATAAACTTGAAAAAATGGTAAAGGATAATGCGTTATCCAATTCTAAATTGGCTAAAATGTTTGGAACGTTATAATTCCCAAAGTGTCTCCAAGTCTGCTCTGGTTTCCCGTGCTGTGGCTTGAAATCCCGTCTTCTAAAATTAAAAGCTCAAAGCCACAGAATGTTCTCTCAGCCTTATGTGACACTGATTTGTTTCCCCAGTCACAATTTCTTGCCTTCATTTTTAAGAAGTCTTTACAGAAACCTTTTTTTCACCTGGTCATAAGAGCACATAAATATATATCTTTATGATGCACTAAAAATGTAGAATGTTGTGTTCAGTTTTGGTCACCATAATACAAAAAAGGTTTTTATAGCCTTAAAAAGCAGATTAACATTGTTAAAAAATAGGATAAAAGAGCTTCATCTCTTCAATACAGACCAAAGGGGATTGGAAGATTTTATATAAATCTTCTTATATATCATATTTTTAGTGGAATAGATAGGGTCAACTCAGAGGACTACTTCAAGCTTGGGAGCTATACAAGGTCACAGGGTCACAATTGGAAACCAAGAGACAATTTGTGTAGGATTGAGAATACAAAACACTGGTGTCGAAAGCAAAAAGCAGCTACTGTAGGTGTCGGAGTGTCTGGACCAAACTTTCCAGCCAAACAATTCAGACCCATAATTGGAGATGCGTTATGAAACAACCAGAAGAACAAGCTGAGCAAAATGGTCATGCTTTGTACACTGCAGTATTTTATAAGATGGACATAAAGAACTGGTTTGAACTGGAATGGAGGAATGCTGGACATAAGGCCTACTATGTAATTCTACACTGTGTTGTATAGGATGGCCTGCTACGAAACTAAGTAACCAGTTGTATTAAAGAAGTTATCTTTGGCAAATAGGGAAGAAAAAGACAAGCTTGATTCTACAATGCTGCCTATCTGATCAGCACAGGGAGGCGGGATAAATAAACAGAAAAATATTAAAGAACTCTTCTAGTTTAATTGTTTTGTGAAAAATACACCAGGCATCTCTGTGTTCCACTCCTATGCGCATGAAATACTTATTTTAGCTTTTTAGACAGACAGTCTTTGAAATGGAAGTGGAAACATTTCTCCAACAGCCACTTCTCAGTTGTCACCATTCCTATGTTCTTATTTAAAAAGTAAAACAAAATATTACAAGTAAATATAGTTGCTATTAATAGGCCGGTAACAAGAGCTCATTTTTACCTTAGATGGCTTGGCACACTTCCAAAGCTGTTCAAAGCTTTGACAGTAATTTGCATAACAAAATTTTGTCTGTTTTTTATTTCTGAGATTATTTGAATGAAAATTGTTGTTTTACAGGTCATAGTTAGCTATATGAGATGGGAAGTGCTTTCAAGTGTCTTTTGAGATAGATTTTATGGAACAGAAAATATTTTTTTACGGTTCCATACTGTAGTTTATGGAAAGGTACACAGCAGCACAAGCTGTGTATCTATTGGATACTGTATATACATATTCATTTAGTTTAATTGTATATGCAAGTTTAAAAAGGTGTTTGCATCCAGTTCATTTCATAATGGTCAACCTTTTTAAGTTGGCCTCAAAATAACTCATTAATAATGGTCACTAACAATAACTCATATAAAAGGGAAAGTGATTTATTATATTAAGGTCTGTTCTATCACTTATGTGTCTAAACGTATGCACTAAACATAAAGATAAAAAAGGCAAACAAAAATTTAGAAAACATACATAAACATTTACTCTAATTATGAAGAGGGAGACTTTTCTTGTGGTTATAGTCATATTAGAAAACAGCAACCAGTCAGGTAGCATAGCTGTAGCAACAGTTTATTATTGCACAGCACCATTTTACATATACCTGGACTGGTCAATGAGCCTCTACAGGTGCATTCAAATTATTTTTCATATTTCTTATGAAAACACCCAGGACATGACTGATATGGAAGATCTTGGATTATGGTTATTTTTGTCACCATGGCATTGTAAATTCTCTCAGCTTTTCTAAGCCAAACAGAATGACAATTCGACCTTTCTTTTTGATATTGTTCTGTTGGTAAAATATGTATTTTAAAAATCCTACATTTAACAAAAGTAAAATATGCCTTCCAATCTGTTGCCACAGTTGTTTTCATTTCAGTGCTCTATTTTAATTTTTTGGATGTAGTATTGGCAGTAGGGTGAGCTCAGTAAGCAGCACATTAATATCAAACACTCCGATATCTGTGGTGCAGGATTTCCTTCATCGACCTGGCAGGGAGTGAGAGAGCTGCAGATACCAGGGACCCAGACAGACAGACCAAGATGGAAGGAGCAGAGATCAACCAGAGCCTGCTGGCTGTGAGTTCACCCTCCTCTATCATTTTCTCCAATCCTCTCTCTCTTTTCATTCTCTGTGCTTTTCTGACTTTACAGCATCGAAAAAGATATGTGGCTGGATGTGTTTTAGCTTCCAGTATATTTGAACTTGACAGGTTACCAGCATGGACATTAGAGTAGGAACAGAAAATCCTGGTGTCTGTTGTCCGGTACAGTGGTGAGGGATGGAGCTGGAGCTGACTCACCAGAATACAACACCTGTCCAGTGAAGCCAGATGGATGTTTCTGGCAGATGTTTAGATGTAAATGTAGATGTTTCTATGATGTTTCTGGCGTCCCCTGAGAGAGTGTCAGAGAGGAAACAGCGGCCAGTTAAGTCGGTAGATTGAAGGCACGCTGTCTCCTAAGATATAACGCAGTAATCAAGGGTTTTGTGCTTGTATTGCAGCTAAAGGAATGTATTCGTGCTCTGGACCAAGAACACTCTCACACACCATTCCGCCAGAGCAAACTCACCCAGGTAAGTATTGGATTCAGCACATTCTTCTAATCTAAGAAAGGGATAAAGAAAGAGACGTTAGACTCTGTACTGTACTGTAACTACAAGTGAGAATGTCAGTTTTTGGTTGCATGTCCCCTTGAGGCAGTTGAAGTCTGCAACCCACTGTGCTCACCAAACTTTGCATGATAATTTGAAACGCCCTGCTGCAGCCATTTGCCTAAAGTTGCCTGTTCTATTTTTTTTTAGCATGGTAAATGTATGCTTAAATGTATTTAGATGGTCCAAAGCTTTCATTTTTTTTCTCCTGATGAATTCCTTGGTTGCATTTTTTTCCCCTTTTCGACAAATAAACCTTTGAGTTCAAAGTTGAATAGCATTCAGGTCAATCCATATCTTTATGTGATTAATGTATGGGGACTGAGATGCCCAATCCATAAAACTTATCTCCACTTTCTACAGAAATTCCTATGTACATTTTGCAAAATGCTTAAGGCCACTATCCTTCTGCAATATAATCCTTCTCCTGTGTTTGTCAATAACGGCCCATACATTTCTTTTCAGTCAATCAGATTGTTCTGCTTTGTTCTATTTCACCTTCATAAGTATTAACTTATGGACATTAATACTTGTTCAAGCAACATATTTTAGTTTTAGATTTTTGCTGGTATTTAACTTCTGTTACTCATAAAAAATATTTATTCTGAGCATTTGTTGTGATGGAAAATATTCAGTAAATGATGTCTGTATATCATTTGTAATTTAACAATGTGGCTTTGTTGGAAGTGTGTGAATACCTTTGCAACACAGTAGATTTGTTTATTTAATACTGTATTAAAATGTTTTCTAGGTGCTGAAGGATTCATTTATCGGGAATTCAAAGACCTGCATGATAGCAAATATTTCTCCTAGCCATGTAGCTACAGAACACACTCTTAACACCTTGCGCTATGCAGACAGGTGAGCACAGTTCTGTCTTGTTCTATACTTGTTTTTAAGCAGGAAATGTACAGCGTTCTGTGAGTCAGGGCTGCGTTTTATTTATTGTGATGTTGGCAGATCATATCCTCTATTTTGTGAATTAGTTAATGCTTCCACTGCTAATTTTTGAATGTGGAAATTTGTGGAAAAAAATACAGAATTTGTCTACAGATGTAAGGTGTGATCTATGTAGTAAGGGTAGCTGGCAGATTGAATTTCAACAGTATGTTATCTATGTTGTTTCATTGTGCATAAATAATACTATATTTCCATTAGATTTTATCACAGCTAGTAATGTTTTAAAAAGCTTTTTTGAAATGACACATGAATATGTACACACGTCTCTGTGAGTGTGTCATGCAGGTGTCTTTCTTATTCCTTCATGCAGGGTGAAGGAGCTGAGAAGAGGAGTGAAACATTCCCCGGGCTCCAGAGGAGGCAGCAGGCTGGTGGGGAGCCCTTTCTCCAAGCGTAACAAACACTCCTGCAGGGAGAGGAGCTCCCCCAAGAAACTGAGGCTGGGGGCAGGCAAGGGGGCTCGAGACCCCAAAGGGCCACATCCTGGGGTCCCTGTAGCAGTGGTAACTCCTCCAAGAAGTGCCCTGCTCTGCTCCACACCCAAGACTGTTGCTGTAAGAGAGGCCTGGCTGAAGCACAGCTCTCCAGCGCAAGGGATGCTGAGAGCAGCGGAGCAGAAGGAGGGGGATAAGGCGGTACCCAAAGGGCAATGCGAGGCACGCTGCAGGCAAGAGCAAGGACTGGGCTCACAGGGCATACACAAAGTTCAGGCCATGGTGTGGCCCGTATGGAAAGAAACTGTTGCCAGGGAGAGGTTCAAGGGAACTTGCCTGGGACGAGCGTCTCTGTCGGAGGACCGCAGAGGCCAGGTTGACACTGACACTTTGGATGCTTGGGCTGGCTCTGGTTTTCTCCGGAGGGAGAGGGAAAGAGAGGGAGGAAGGGAAAAGCAAGAGGAGGACAAGAAGGAGGCAGAGTGGGAGACACTTTGCCACCGACAAAGGGAAAGGGAGTTAGGAAGTGAGAGGGAGAGAGAGATGGAGAGGCAGCGCCATCTGAGAAAATACCACCAGCAACTTCAGAGGCCGTCCATCCGGCACTACCAGCCCCTGGAGGGCCTTCTGGCCTCATACGAGGGGCAGAGCATGGACTCTCTTGCAGAACCGGGTGTCAGGCCCAGCAGCCGGGTGTGTCCGGGGGACACAGATGTAGACAGCGCTAGTGATGCGAGTCAGGACTCCCTCAATGTCGTTGAGCTGGGGAGCTGCCCTAGTGAAGAAGACCACCATGGCAACTGCGTCGAGGACGCCTACAGTCCTGGCTATAGGTCAGACACAGATGCTTCTGTCCGTCGCGGGAGAAGTTTCCGGGGGGTGCCAAAAGGCTCTATCTGTTTGGAATTGAGAAGGGATTTGGGAAACCGAGAGAGAGCTGACAGGCTTCAGGGAGAATACAGGAGCAGGGAGGACTGGCAAGAGCAGTCTGTGTCTGAGCAGCGGGAGGAAGCAGAGGAGACGAATCCCAGCATGGAGGAGCTTGAGGTCAGTGAGAGCTGGAGGCTGGATGGGCGGACAGGCTTTGGGGACTGGCTGCAGGACAGCCCAGGTCAGCCTGACTGGAGCATAGAAGAGGACTCTTTCACCATGAGGTCTTCTGGTAGCAACAATACACCTGAGAAACCCTATTCTCCAGTGTCAGAGAAGCAGCCAGGCCACGTGTCCCCCAGTTTAGACTGCTTCAACAATCTGTCTTCTGACCACAAACAGATCAACTCGGCACTCCAGGACATGGTGGAGATACCAGACCTGTCAAACCCCAAAGATTGTACCAATGTCCCTTTGCCCAGTGATCGAAACTTTGTAAAACCAGGAAGTGATGGAGAAGCAGCTCCAACATGTGATTCTATGATGTTGTCTGGCTCAGGTGTCCACGCAGAAACAGACAGGGACTCTGCTTCAGAGCCACAAGAGGACAACAGTGTCCACCAGCAAGCATCAGACATTTCTATAACCTCTGCCACAATGGACCCTTTGACAATCTCTCTGTTGGACATCGAGAGGCAGGTGGCTACAGACTCCTTCCTCTGTGGGCCACAGTCTCCTTCCCTTTCTCAAGGCGAGGTCTCCAGGGAGGAGTCTACTGAGGACCTTGAGTCAAGGAGCACCTTGAATCAAGGACCTGCAGTGGCACAGCGTAGCCAGAGAGGGCAGCAGACACAGCCAGCAGTCAGCTTGGACACTCCCCTACTCTCTGAGAATGGTAACGGTGGATGTACGTAGTCTACCAAATATTGCTAGTTTTGAAGTAAATGAACTTTCCTTTCAATTTCTCATTCTCGTGTAATAAAAAACAGTACAACTTTTCCTTTTTTCCTGCACTTTTCAGTATCCAAGTACAATATAGTGAACATTTCTAAACTGCTCTTTTTTGCTGATTTAAAAAAAAAACGTTTAAATGCTTATGTGTTTTTTTTTTCCAGTTAAGCATCTTTAAACTTTTATTGCAGCTTCAAAGAGAAATCACCCCAATACTGTAATGATCCTTGCCAAAACTGAACATAACTGCAGGTTATCTAGAAGTCTGTGAAATGATGGAGGAACAAAACCATGAACATTTCTTTTGAAAACTTGCTTGAGATTGGACTGCTTCATTTTGATCAGCCAGCCCAGAAAGGACTGAACAGCAGACAGTACCTTAATCCGTGTCTTTGCTTCATTCTCAGGTTCTTCCGCGGACTGTCATACAGCCACCTGGGAGCTGTGCCCACAGAGGACGGACGTGAGTGTCACACTGGCTGCCCGCAGTCTGATCTCCACTCCACGGAGTTTCACAGCGTGCACTGCCCAGCACCTCTGTAACTCCCCTTGCCAGCTCAGCCCCTCACACGCCAGTAATCACACTACACCCCCTGAAGACTCTGCTCTGGATCACGGCCTGCTGTCCCCTGCAGCCACAGACAGAGTGTCAGAGTCAGCTGTCTCGGCCCACTTCTCTGTGCTGTGCCGGGAGCTTGCGAAGGAACTGCCTGGCCAAAACCAGACCGCAGTTGCCAGGGGGAGCAGTCCAGAGAGTGACAGAGTTACTGCAGCAGGCGCGCAAGACCCTACAGAGAGCTGTGACATCTCAGTACCTGCAGCAGCAGCGCCTGTGTCATGGTCCAGTCAAGAGCTAGTGCCCAGTGTGAACGTGAAGCAGGCGGTTGCTGATTTATACGTGGGAGGACTTCCAGGCTGCCACCGCAGGTTGAGGAATGAAGTGCAGGAGGTCCTGGGGTTGAGGCAACAGAACCAAGGCCTTACTCAGTCTACTTCAGATACAACGGCAGAGAGAAACTCCAGTCCTCCTGCCGATCCAGAGCTGTCCCCCCTCAACAGTGCAGGGGACCAGTTAGCCAACCCGACTCTGTATCAGGGCCGTATGACCAGTCCCACTCTGCTACAGCACACCGTGACCAGAGAACCTCTCTACGTCGCTCGACAGCAGCAGGAGGCACTTGGAAGGGCACAGTAGGTTTTTTTTGTTGGTTTCTTACCTCCACCTTTTCCATTAGTATTTTGTACAAAGTTGTACATTTTGTATGAGCCTGTGATTTTAAATCTGCTTCGGGAACCGTGAATTATTACGGGTTTATTGTGCCTTGAAGTCACTTTTATGTACTTTCCTCTCGCCGTACATTTTCTGATTGTGTAACTTGTTTAAAAAGGTGTATATGTACGATTGCATGAGGGCTTTATAGTGTACATTTCCTTTTGGACGTAAGCTGTTTTTGCTGAAGGCTGAAGGGATAAGTGCCGATTGTCCCTCTCGTCTCCAGGAGCCTGGTGATCCGGGCGCACCGTGAGGAGCTGGATGAGATGCAGTCTCTGAGCCGGAGGGAGGAGGCCCTGCTCAGCCTGCAGCCTGACATGGTGAGAGGTTGTCAGCCTCTTGTGATCACCCCCCTGCTGCTGATGTAGGGCACAGCAGTACTGGGGCAACAAGCTCAGGACGCCCCCAAAGCTCAGACTACAATTTCTAAATTTTCTATTCAGATATTTTACCCCCAAAATAATTACATCTCTGAAGCTCAGCGGGTGTGAGCCTGGTCAGTACCTGGATGGGAGACCTCCTGGGAAAAAACTAAGGTTGCTGCTGGAAGAGGTGTGAGTGGGCCCAGCAGGGGGCGCTCACCCTGCAGTCTGTGTGGGTCCTAATGCCCCAGTAGAGTGACGGGGACACTATACTGTAAACAGGTGCCGTCCTTCGGATGAGACGTAAAACCGAAGTCCTGACTCTCTGTGGTCATTAAAAACCCCAGGGCGTTTCTCGAAAAGAGTAGGGGTGTAACCCCGGTGTCCTGGCCAAATTTCCCATTGGCCCTTACCAATCATGGCCTCCTAATAATCCCCGTCTATGAACTGGCTTCATTACTCTACTCTGGTAAGTGTTCTGGCGTTGCATCATCCAGGTGGGGCTGCACAGTGGTGGTGGTGGAGGGGATCCCCATTACCTGTAAAGCGCTTTGAGTGGAGTGTCCAGAAAAATGCTATATATGTGTAAGCAATTATTATTATTATTATCATCTCCATAATTCAGTATCTCAACAAAAAAAAATTAAATGGAAAGATGAAAACAAGTAAAACGAATAGTGAGGATCCACCGATGAACATGATATATTGTGGCCCCAGTCTGAATTATTCACACACATCTGAGCTGCAATCCCTTACATGTGTCAGTGTCTCGCTGCATGAATGTGTGAGATTTATTCTAAATACAAAATATAGAAGTAGTGGGATGAAAGAGGGTTTTGTCTAATGTAATATTTAGTTGCTGAAGGATGTGATTGTAATGAAACAGAAGTCTACAAATATAGATTACATCTGCCTAAGCTTGTAATTGTTTTAAAATTGCTTTTAGCTCTTATTCAGTTTTGTTGGAAATAATATATCCCAGTTCTTCTGTGCTGTATTATGCTGCATTTCCACTTTTCCAATGAATACGGTCAAATCTGTGGTCATCGTGTTTAAGATAATGTTTGTGGGACACAATTTCCCCTGTGATGCAGTAGAACAGGGATGCACCATGTGGTGCATAGGTTTAATGACTGTGGTTTGAACAATTTAGTTTTAAACTAACCTTCTGCTTTTATGGGAGCATTACTTATGTACACACATGTACAACATATGGTCTTATCTCTACCCTGAAGAGGGAAAGAATGAAGAATATTTATTTTAAAATGGTAGTGCATCTCATGGTAAGATGGAGTTTAGTATGCAGTGGCCACATAGCTGGTCATTTTTTTTAATCTGTGAAAAATAATATAACTAATTTTGTTCTTATTATGGCTACAGACTTTTTTAATAGTGCTATCACGAAGGGTGTTTTGATACGTTTTCAAAATCTGTTTTTTGTACTAAGGAAAAAACCAGCAGATGATTAGAATAATTGAAGCACTTCTCAGTGGATGGTGTGAGACGCAGTGACTAACCCCTTTGCTGCTGTCTCTGCAGGACTTCACAGACTATGTGGTGAAGCTGGAAGAGATCATGGAGCTGAAAGCCAAGTGTGTGCGCAGTGTAAGGGCCCAACTACAGCTCTACCTCACCTACCCAGGGGCCACTGGCTCCTAGGATTCCCAGGAATGCATTAGACAGCATCTGTGGGTGCACTGTGTATAGCTTCAGGTTTGAGTTTTGCATCTTCCTCTATATACTGTACACAGACTTGTTCCCCACCTCAGTGTGTTTGCGGGTATGTGTGTATTATCAGTGTTCACTACTGCTCTGATGACTATAGTACAGTTTTTCTTCTTTTCTTGAACTGAGCAAGGCTCTGCACTGTGTACTTTTGTTGTGCACTTGCAGGAGCAAATCCAATTTTTTCTTAAGGGTTGCCTTTTTTTATACCGTTTGTCACAAAATGTTGGTGATGGATTGTCTTCTCTGAAGCCTTTCGGACTGCTGAAACCTCCAGTGCTAACACATACTGAGTAACATCAGTTTATCTCGGTGATTCCTGGGTTCCTCAGCTAGTCACTGCAGTGAAACAATGCAAACTAAGCTCAGTTATTGTAATAGGGAAGAAAATATATTTCTTTTTGTATACCTAAATAGGGGAATGTTTATAGAGCATACACACAGTACCATGCATCAGGATGGAAAGAACAATATCTAGGCCAACCACACATGAAACAGTGTCTTGTTACTCCCAAAAGGAGGAAAAAGATGAAGAATATTTAAAAATGCTGGTGTATCTCATTGTCTCAACCTTGTAAGCTGTAGTTTGGTATGCAAGCCCCCTTCTGCTGCGTTACTATGGTATATAATAATCATGAATAATTTTAATCCAGTGCAGGGAAAATGCAATAGCAAGATTTAAACTCTTAAATATTATACAGTATTCCATACTCTTATGCAATCAAGAACAGTCTGTAACCTTTGTAATTCAGAAAGGTCATTCGAAACCAGCTTATTTATTGTAACTAAATCTGAAGTATGTTGTTAAAATAAAATTTCCAGTTTGAACATATCTTTTCTGGTTTCTGTTTATACCTTAGCATACACAGCAAGTATTTTCTCTTTTCACAGTGTTTTTCCTTATTTATTCAGAAACAGAATTCTGTGAGTCAATTACATTTCGATAATAAATATGATGGATTACATTCTGTTAGAAACGGGGTTATGGAAATGGTAAATAGTAGAAAATGACTGAAAGATTTTGCCAAGAATATACCAGAGCAGCTGGTAAATTTGAGGCACCTGAGTTCTTTTTTTCTCTGGCACAGCTTTGGTGAAAAGAGTAATAATTCAGGTACAAGTAAAGGTTTATTCCATGCTGAAAAGAAAAGATGCAACGTTTTCGCTGTGAAGCCTTCTTCAAGTGTGAATTAAACAGTTCCGGTACACTGGGTTAAACATATATTAATTAAAAATGACAATGACACACTCAACAACAAACCACATAAACACACAACATAGGTTGTCCAAGAGGCCTACATCCTAGCTCCCCCCAGAAAAACCCCCAGACTGCTACCAAATTTTGCCCATTGGGGATTTTGGACAAAGTCCAAAAGAGGAGAAAGCTGCCTTCTAAATTAAACAATATCACCTACAGTTATCCATCTGGAAACCAGGATCCTGCAAAATGAATAGGAACCGAACTCTCCATTCTAAAAATGCACTCACTGACCAGGAGAGCTTGTATTTAACTGAGGGATTCTTTACACTGGAAATCAGAATGGTAAGTTCACTTAGGAAGGGTCAGATACTGAACTCCAGTCAGCTCTTTCCAGATCTGGACAGGGAACTCGTGCCTTCTGACTCATGCCTTCCCTCTCCTGTCCTCCCTTTCTCACTTCTCCTGCCTGCTTTACACTGTCTTCCTGGACTGTGACTTGTTGACTGACACCTTATTACTTACCCAGATCTTAATTAAGGAAAACCAAGGTTAGCTCTATGATTGCTTTGATCACTGAATCTCAGACTCATACGTTTCAGCAAACATCTCCCTGCTTTGAAGCCCCAGAAAATTGTAAATGTTGACACAAGCCGAGTGCTATTGTGCCCTGGTTTTGTCTTGGGAACCCGTGCTATGTAAGTAATGTATTTCGAGTCTATTTTGTACCTCTCATTCCACCAGCTTCTCAACATCTCGATGCAGTTCATTTATGCAGTTTATGTTATCTATATGTTCCACTGCTGGAGCTTCATGATTATATATGTTTATACGTATAAATTATCTACTACGTTTTCCACAGCTTTTTCAACTAAAGACTCCGAAACGATATCTTCGATAAGTAACTCATGCGGCTTAACGTTCTCTGTCGTTGCTAGGATTTTTTTAATAAAACAACAAGCACTGAAAGGAGAATGACTCGAGCATTTAAAAAAATACCCATTTTGTATACACTTCTGGAGTCATCGGGATGAACTCCCTGGAAAATGTGCTGTAAGTGTACAGTCATAATTTATTTTAAAAAGTCATGACGTCCAACATTAGCCTTCTAACGTACGGCCTATTGGCTATATGTCATTAAAAGATGACTACATTTGTTTGCTAGGAAACCGATAACGCTTCTGTAGTTCAAACCTCTAGTTTTATTTTAATACTGCGCGGCAACAATAACAATAATGGCAGCCGCCCGTGACTCAACTTCCCAAGAGGGGCGGGTTGTTGCGATGACGTAGAGCTTGGTTATTGGTCAGAGGTGAGTCACGTGCCGGATGCGACGGAGTAGGGGGGGGGGCGAGAGGCGGGGTCATGGAAGAACAAGATGGCGTCCTGCGATGAAGCAGGAAATAGGACTCGGTTTCATTAAAACTTGTTTCAGGCGAGCATTGAAAGAAGAGAGTTCGAGGGAAAGCCGAAAAAGACCTTTCGGACACGAAAAGGAGTAGACACAGGTGAGGTGGCGGTACCCAGGCGAAGTGTTGAAGTGAAAGGGAACGGCGGGTTTGCAGTGGTACATACGCGTTTGGAACTGGGCTTCTCGCAGTTTGTGTGCCCGTTACATAAACTACAGACTGCTGGTTGTGGGATACAGCAGGCCCCGGAACCGTGAATACAAAGATTGAACTGTTATTTTTATTTTTGAAACCGAGAGGTGGGGTGTCGGTTGCCCGGTGTAATTCTACAGGATATGTCAGTGCCGCTGTCATAGGTATTTACGAGTTGTTTTGGCTGGAACGGCCCCGTGTCTCGAAGCTGTAAAAGGCCACTTCTTAAGCTGTTGAAGTTATTTCCCTTTCGGGCGTTTCGGGAGCAATGCGTAGCTCATACGAATTCGTCACGGGTTGTTTGAACTGCTTTTGATTTAAATAAGACTGATCTTTCTTTACGTGATGTCCGATGTCACGGTATACCCTTAAGATTGGGTTGTGCTTTGCAGGCTCGCGTCAACTGGATTGTAAGCTTGATTGATACAATTGATGTGATGTCCAGAGGTATTGCCAAGAACTGTCTGTAGGGGATTGTAGCAGTGATTGGTCATCACAGCAGGAGGAACTGAAATGTTTCAACAGGTCGATTTACCGGGGGTTTCAGTGACCGGTGTGTTCCTGGCAGGGAAAGCGAGTTATAGACGCAGCGTTACATGAAATGCCACGGAGCACAGTGACAAGTCAATCACGACTTGTTGACTTCTGCAGTGCTATGACACGCTGTGTGTAACCCCCTTTCACCAGTCAGAATGTGTTCGCTGAGTAATTGGTATAAAGTGGTTATCGCTTATCAACCAAAAGCGAACCACTGATAGTAGTTTCAATTGCAGTTCGCAGAGCTGTGCTGCTCCGAAGCTTTTTGTCAGTTTTTATTTTTGTTTGTTGCAACTTCGGGGCAGGTTTCACCCTGGCTGACAGCTGTGTAGTCACTTCTCTATACCGGGGTGCAGAAATGGAATTTCCCAACTGTCTTGACAGAAGTCAGTTAAAAACTAACATTTTTTGCCTCTTTTTTTTTAAATAATGTAATACATTGTGTTCTGCGTGTGTTCTGTATGTCTCGCTGTATATGGATAAAGCAAACACGTGTCTCATGGTGAGCAAGCTGGGGTATGCAAAAAGGCGAATTCCTAATGCAAGAAATTGTGTAAGGCTAATAAAGTGATCTCTTACCTCAACTTTAGCTTTCTGTGGTTTCTGTGTGAGGGTGAGTAAGAGAGAGTAATTTGGAGAAACAAGCGAGGCCGAGGGCCATGAATTACATCCAAGCACACGTGTTCAAGGCTCAGTCCTGTGGTTTGGCTCCAGTGGTTCACACTCTCACGGGCTTCTGTACACAGGTGCTGTTCTGTTCTTGTCCAGCTCGGTCTGAACACAGACTTGTGAGCGTGGCAGTGCATGTAACGCCACGTCGTGGAGTCAGTTGGTTTGAAAAGAAACCCACTGACCTTTTTAAAATAATGCGGACTTTGTTTTTAAAGTGCAGCCTGGATAATGTGCAAAGAGCTAAAGACAAGTCCTTTATGGTCTAACGAAGCGTTTCACTTCAGCTTCTGAACACTGCCTCTTTATCTGCAGGGGAGTCACCGACCTGAAACGAGTGCGGTGGTTCTGAGGAAGTTGGGCATTTGGTGTGGGTTTTTTTTTTGGAGATATCTGAGGGGAAGAGCAACTAGTTTTGATCTTTATTCTTCAGTCTTTTTCGATCAATAAATCGCAAAGTTAGAGATTAAACCCTTTTCACTGACGCACAAATGTATCTTTTAGGGATAATTGGGATAAGAAACCCTTGTGAAATTGAACACCGAGAGAGCTTTCACAGCCTTCTGGCTTATTTGGGCACATCAGTAGTGCAGAACTCTCACTCTTGGGTGAAGAAGTCCCGTCGGATTGTGCAAGTCTCTGTAGCAGTCATCTACAACTGTAGACCTAGTCACTCTGTTACATTGGTCCAAATAAGTATATTATGTTGGTTAATTAAGATGTGAGGTGGAACAGAAACCCAGAGACCTTTGGGAAAACTTGAATAGTGCACCTCTGGTTACAGATTTTAGGTGGAGGTTTGTCCTACAATCATTCATTTTTATGTCATGTTCTGGCTTGTTTGTTCATCCTTTCACTGCCTTTTGAAGTGGTGAAAAATTTGGTTGTTAATGTGCTCATAAAAAAAAATGAAAATGTGAATTTAGGTTGTACACAGTGAAGCCAGTTACGTCCTCATTGTGACATGGTGTTATCTTTGCTCTTAGGTTTGGATGTTTTCTAATTATAATCTAATTACATGTTAGAATTTCATCACAGAACAACTAGCTAGTACTGTATATTGTATCAGGTTGTAGATTATATTTTGCCAAAAGGTGAATTTTTGATTTGGGGGACCTTTGTGTTCCAGCAGTAATGCGAATGGGCTTTGCATTTTATGCACAACAATTCTCAATTTATTTGACAAAATGTGGTATTTATTGGTTCTTAAATATAAACCAATCACATATGTCTGTTTGGAGATTCTGCAATTAATTTCAACTAAATTGGTAATGACAATAATACCTGTGCGTACATGTTCAAAATTTAAATGTGTGGTTAAGCCTCAGTAACTCATTTGTTACATATTAAGCCGCTGGTCAAATAATAATACATAGGCTATAAAGGATTAACTTGTATTGTGAGCAAGATTCCATTTTAACTGTGATGCTAAAACTGTTGTAGCTCCCTGTCTGGGCAAGAAACACAATGTCATAACAGGTCTAGAATTCCTGTCCTTATGGTTAGAAATCGCAGATTATATGAAATGCAAAAAGGTTATGACTGCAAAAGTTTATTATTTTTTGTAGCTCTGAAGGGCATTGCATCTGGGAAGTGCTTACTTGAAACGATTAATGATTGGAAAACAGCTGCATCAGAACTATTACTGTAAGAACTGTAGTGTGTGTGTGTCTCATTCCACCAGAACACTTTCAGTTTCAGACAATTGTTTCAGATATTGCAGAAATATCATGTTTAGAATGACAGGTTGTTTTAGAACAACATTTCATTTGGGTTCTAAATCCATCCAGGAATGGTAATAAAAAAAAATCTGACATCTCTAATCCCTGATTCCATCTACCCACATTGGAATTAAGAATGTGAATGAGAAGTGATCTATTACGTAGGGATGCATGGAGTCACAGCGCAGTCCAGTGAAGGTTAGAGATGAGTTTCATTGTAATGACCATGGCCACTTCTGGAGAACGCTGAAGGGGACACACAAGGTGTATTTCCCACCGTGCCCTGAATTGCAACAGTTCTACAGAGGTTTTTATAGTCCCAGTCCAGCCAATTTATTACCACGAATGGGGTTCTACCGGACTGTCTAGTTTTTATTCCATCCACAGTTCTTTTCCTAATTATCTAATAATCCATATTTGGTTAACCTTGAATAGTTCAATTTAATCATATTTTTTATGATTAAACACTACAGGTTAAGAATGTTAAACTATAAACAGTCTGCTGCCATGTTATTAACATTTCTAAAAAAGTCTGTATATCGAGTGGTTAGGGGTGTGGTTCGGACTGTAGTCAGAGTTTTATTGCTAGCGTTCAAGTAATCCACAGCAGAGATAGAATCGCTCAGTTTGTACAACCATTTCTAAATATTTAGATTCTGATTAAGTTTACAACTCAGCATCTAAAGCATTACCATTTTTTCAGGCTTTAAAAGGAACTATAAAAATTGCTTAACCTTTACTCTCGAACACCAAAATATGGGACTCTGGTTGTGATTTGTGTGTGGGGGAAAAAAACCCACAAAAGGTCAGGTGTCCTGCTGAGAAAGTGATTGAATCTGTCAAACATAGTCTCCAGGCTTTTGGCTACTGGCATCAATGTATTTCTTCTGTTTCGGAACTCTTACCAGTTGTCTTATATGGTATACTTAGGAACAGAGGATTATTCCACACTGAAATGTAGAAAGAATAAAAAGAAACATGTTTCAACCGAGTATCCTTCTTCAGATGTGAAGTATTTTTTCAGAATGGAATTAACCTCTGTTTGTTTCTTTGTAGCCTGCATGCTGACAGCTTCTCACTCAAACCTCTGTTAAAGTATGTTTAATTGTACTTAAATATGCGGTACTAATGTTATTGAAAGAGACCTCGTGCTAACTAGTGACTTGATTT